AAGGAGAAGGAGGAAAAGGAGAAGGGGAGAAGGAGAAGAAGAAGGGATGGAGGAGGAGGAGGGAAAGGAGGAGGAGGAGAAGGAGAAGGAGGAGAAGGAAGGCAGAGAAGGAGGGAGAGAAGGAGAAGGAGATAAGAGATAGGAGAAGGGGAGAAGGAGAAGAAGAAGGGATGGAGGAGGAGGAGGGAGAGGAGGAAAAGGAGAAGAAGGGATGGTGCATGAGGAGGAAGAGGAGGAGGAGGAGAGGAGAAGGAGAAGCCCACCCATCCTAAAGCCTGCTGACTGGGGAATCCTGGGAGCTAAAGTCCGCCCATCTTTGAGTCGCCAAGCTTGAAAAACGCTGGGATAAAACGGTGAGACTTTTATTGACCAAAAAGAGAGAGGGTTGCAATTGAAGAAAAAAAAAACAGCTAAATTTACTCCTTTACGTCCCAGCTTGGGGGAGCTGGCAGAGCTGAGACCGGGGGGCTTCCCGAGACGGACGAAGTGGGAGGGGGACCCTCCCGGGCCTGGAGGTGGGGCTCAAATGATTCCTCTTCCTTGCAACAGCAGGTGCAGCTTCTCCACCTGCTGCTCCATCTGCCCGGTGAGGGGGTGATGCGCCCCGAGTTTTTTCTGGTAATCTTGAGTTGGGAAGGAGAAGAAAACAAGGACCGGTTGTAATTCGAGAACCAGTTGTAATTCGAGAACCGGTTGTAATTCGAGAACCGGTTGTAATTCGAGAACCGGTTGTAATTCGAGAACCAGTTGTAATTTGAGAATCGGTTGTAATTCAAGAACCGGTTGTAAGTTGAGAACCGGTTGTAATTCAAGGACCGGTTGTAATTTAAGGACCGGTTGTAAGTTGAGAACCGGTTGTAATTCGGGGACCAGTTGTAATTCAAGGACCGGTTGTAAATTGAGAACCGGTTGTAATTTAAGAACCGGTTGTAATTCAAGAACCGGTTGTAATTCAAGAACCGGTTGTAATTTAAGAACCGGTTGTAATTCAAGAACCGGTTGTAAGTTGAGAACTGGTTGCAATTCAAGAGCCGGTTGTAATTCAAAGACTGGTTGTAAATTGAGAACTGGTTGTAATTCAAGAGCCGGTTGTAATTCAAGGACCGGTTGTAATTTAAGGACCGGTTGTAAGTTGAGAACCGGTTGTAATTCGGGGACCAGTTGTAATTCAAGGACTGGTTGTAAGTCCCCTTTTTCCAGTGCCGCGGTAACTTTGGACGGGCACTAAACGAACGGTGCTAAGTCGGGGACTGCCCACCCTGGCTTTTCGGTTGTACCTTTGATCTCTGCTTTTTGCTAATAAAGATCCGCTCGTTTAGTCAACTCACCCAGCAGCGTCGCCTTTAAAATGGCCAATATTTCCTCCTCCATCAGTTCTTGCAGAGGTAAAGGCACCTGAGAGGAAGAAAGGGAAAGTCTTAAGGGAGTTAGGGTCAAAAAAGTCAAAATGGCAGCCCTCACCCTGGGATCAAAGCCAGTTCTACATTTTGACCCCTCTTCCTCTGCAGACACCCGTTGCGAAGGTTAGGAACATCACCCAAGATTTGACCGACTTAAAATCCCAACGTTTCTCCCAAATGGGCACTCCGAATTCTGCAAATTTCAGATTGCGGATCACCGGCCCCTTTTAATTTCCAGCCGCAGGTGGGAGAATCGCATTTCCACTTTGCTGTGGGCGATGGGCACTGGGGGTGTTTCCCGGGAACTTTTTCAGGGAAAGGACGAGCGCGTTCAACGGCTGCCTCGGATTTGCAAAAGGAATGACAATAAACTGAGAATATCAATTAATATTCCAATCCCAGCCGAATCCAGAGCTGGGTCTGATTGCGCTACGGATAAAATTGGGGAAGAAAGAAAGCAGAGAGGAAGGAAACTCTATGGTCTCTGGAGGACCCTTTCGACTGAATCAGGCACGGGGATAGGAAACATCACCAAGAGGAGATGCGGGAAGTATAAATCAGGAGGACACCGAAAACTCACCGCCACTTTAGAATCCCGCTCGTGCTTGGCAAATTTCTGCTTATAGGCTTTTTCCTAGAAAAAAGAAAAAAAAAAACAAATGAGGGAAGGCTAATTTTGTATTTGTATTTATATTTATT